ATGGACGTGAAATACATAATTGACGATTACAATATACGATATTTGTTGGAATTCTCGGAAGGGGAAGAGTTTTTTTCTAAATCAAAACAAAAGGTTTCCACTTCTGGTTGATCGTTGCTCATGTTCATGTCTAGTTTGTTACAGGTTATTTTATAGAAAAATTTACGCAATAATTAATAATTTTATGTACGTATGTTGCCAAATATTCGACTTATAATAATTAAAACGCTCGATTTACAATAATTAGAACGCGCTGTTGCTTGGTTTACTGATGCAAAACTATACACAAAATTAGTCGCTTGGTCTAGTTATGCCAAATTCAAAATCCAGAATAAGAAGAAATGCACTTGGTCTTTTTAAATATATCTGGTTAACCGTTACTAACAGACTAATAGGATTTATTCTGTAGATAGTTTATGCTATTTCCCATCAGAAAGCGCCATAATCCACAATTTGAGAAAATGGCGCTTGGTCTAGTGATGCATAACGCCGTCCATCTGTTCTGCTAAACATTAGAGAAAAAACTTTGAAGATAATAAAATATTAGTCAAAAAGCATATATAAGCAAATAAACATTTGATATAAATATAGTAGACTTCTGTCATTTAGGTAATTAAAGTTACTAAAAGACGTGAGTATAATATTTGTGTGCGTATGAAATTTAATTATGGCTCATTTGTCCGAGACTCAAATAATATAAATTTTAATTATAATTGGTTGTGGTAATAAAACAAGAACTCAAAAGAAGGTTTGTGAAATGTTTAATAATAAATACCCTGGTCAACAAGTTTCGCAATATACAGTTAGCAAAATTGAAAAGAAGTTTCGTTATACCGGACATGTAAAAAATATTAAAAACCAGGTATAAATGTTAAGTTTACGGATGCAAAAAGTTAGTTGTACTTCTAGAAATTGAGGAAAACCCGCATAAGACAACTCGAGAACTTGCCGCCGTCAATGATGTAAGTAAATCATCTATTTTGAGAGTTTAGCATAAAGAAAAATACCACCCTTACAAGTTTCATTTGGTTCAGAAGTTAAATGAAGATGATCCTGTGACATTCTGTGAAATGATGATAAACAGAATGAACGCAGATTTGCAGTTCATAAACAAAATAGTTTTTTCTAATAAAGCGACGTTTCATTTAAACGAAAGAGTTAACAAACACAACTGTAGATATTGGAGCAGAGAAAATCCTCACTGAGTGTGTGAGACTCACACACAATATCTTAAAAAAGTTAACGTTTGGGCTAATATTATTAATAATATTATTATTGGTCCGTATTTATTTGAGGGCATAGTTGATGATGAGGTTAATCTAGATTTTTTGATTAACTTTTTAGTGCCTACATTATGAAGATTTTTGTCTGATGTTAATTATCCAAATGAGATAGATCGATCTATTTACTACCAACAAGACGGAGCTCCACCGCATTTTGCACGTATAGTTAGAAATTATTTAAAAAGGTTTTTCCCAACAGGTGGATTGGAAGACGTGGAACGATGGAATGGCCGGCTAGATCCTCCGATTTGACTCCTCTCGAAAACTTCTTATGGGGTTATTTAAAATATAAAGCATATTTTAATAGACCAAACAGTATTGCTGATTTAAAAGTTAGAATAACGGAAGAAATTAACAAAATAACCCCCGAGGTCGTACAAAATGTACGAGAATTCCAAAATGGCCTCGGTTATTGTCAAGAAGTGCATGGTGGTCACTTTGAACATTTAATTTAATTGGAAAGTACATTGAAAATTACATTCTAAATATTATGTGACATTATTATCTTCATTCAACCTAAAGTTTTGTAATAGAGACATAATCAAAATTTTACATCTTAAAAATCAATTTTCTCAGTTATGATGACACCAAACTTAAAAAACTTTATATTGCTAAACACAGGACTAAAATTCCTTTCTAATAAGGTTATGGTATGACCACCTTTTGTTACTTAAAATTTTCGAGGGTGTTCTTCTAATTCAAAGCACGTGCTGGAGGAGTATTTTCATACAGTAAAATGTCAATTTAAGAATAAAAATCAACTTGTTTTAGTTTTTTTCTTCACATAGTACATGATAACGCTAAAAATGAATTTATTCTATACATATGGACCGCATGGTATAAAACGTGTAATAAAACTATTTTGGTAATACATACAATTTCCAACGTTTCGATAGCAGACAGTTTGTAAAAATGGTACTTACTAAAATAATTACCTTTTATCTAGAACATTGGGTGTATTTTATTTAAGATCTAAAAAGAAGTTTATTGGCTTCTTTTTTACTTTTTCCTTCAGTTCTTTTTCTCTTGGCGTTGATTTTTTGCTTTTTGTTTAGCAGCTCCATAATTTAGAACTTAATACTCTTAAGCAAATTACTTTCAATAATTGTTATGATCCCAACATTATCCATAAGCTTCTAAGTAGAGCTACACTCAAAATTTTAGAAAAGCTTGCATATTCATCACAAAGTTTTTTTTTACCCTAATGCTTCAAATAACATCGGATATTTCTCCTTTACTTATATAAGCAACATTTTCAATAATATATCTAAACTTTTTACTTCTACAATTGAAAACATTAAAATTTCCTTCAAGTCACACAACACTTTAGGTTCCTTTTTAATCAACACCAAAAATAGGATGAACACACTTGACAAAAGTGGTATTTATAAATTAAAATGTGATGATTGTGATACCTCTTATGTAGGTAGAACCATTAGAGTTATCCACTAGAGTTTCAGAACATTTGAAAAGACCAAACTCTTCAAGTTTATCAACACTTATTATCCAGTAAACATAATTTTAACATCAATACTGGTTCATCTATTTTGCATGACATTAGCGGAAAGAAAAACTATCTGGAGTTGTACAAATTAATTTAAATTGTACTAAATTTAAATCTATTTTTTAAAACTTTATTACAGCTTCACCTCGTAGGGGACCCAGCTTGGCTGTTTAGACTTCCTGCACTGAGTATATCTATTAAGAATTTATTAGTTTCAGACTTAAACAACATTACTATTTTATTCTTCAATAATTTACAAAACTAACTTGCTCAAGTTCAAGTTATTTACACTCTCCACACCTCTTCGTAATTTGGATATACCATCTCCACAGTTGCATATTTCAACATCCACCACTGTTGGTCAGTTGGTCTTGAGTAACGCTTTGACATATTAATTTTATAGTTCTTCCATTGACTGTGGGTTCAACGGAACTACTTGGATTATACTCCATTTATATACTTTGCTTTCAATTTTGATTTTCAATTTTTAGTAGTTTAATTACACAGTCAGATTTCTTCTTTTCTACAGTATTAATGGTGCTTGGTAGACCATTTTATTGTAGTTAACCACCCACTGTCAAATATATTGTTTAGTCTATTTCTTGCATTTATACTTTACGTCGACTTCAGTTGCTCTCAAACTAACACCGTAATTATTATAGACACGTTTGAGTGTGAGATCTGGAATATGCAATCTACTTAAAATATTCTATATAATTTCATATTTCATCAGTTGACTTCCCATAGTAGTGTCAGTTGGACATTTGGTCAGATCTTAGTTTCATAGAATTTTGAAATGTGCAAATCAAATATCTATGATTGTGACTGCCCAGCCAAGCTGTCATATGTCACATGTCACCTCAATATTTCCGTTAAGACCGGGAGCCATTCTTCGGTTTTATGAACACAATGTAGCTTCACCTATTTTTAAAATTTTAAAGTGTTTGTTCTTGTGTAGTGTAGTGTGACGTATAATTTTATGTTTATAACATTTTATTCTTGTTGCATAGGCCACAATTGACGAAGTAAGTTTTAAACGTTAATCACATAAAAACTTTTATCAACCATCAACTTCGAGGTTTTTATCGAAGTTAATTAATTTCTTCAGTTAAAAAAACGTTTCTTGGCTTATTTCAGATGCACATGAAGATGCTCTAGGAAGCGAAAGTAATTGGCAAGATTTAATTAATAAAACTGTGCTCGATATCTGCCTTTTATTTGATCACAATAGATCATTTTGTCCCAATAGACTACCGTCATATGGTCATGTAACTTTTAAAATATGTACTTCCATATGTCGGCTGTGGATTAAAGTCACCTTTGATGCAGAATATAGTCAAAATAGAAGGCTAATAAATTTGGGAATTGAGTTAATAAAATAATAAATTAGATTCAAAGCCTCAACGTAAGGTTTACACTTATATATTCAGTCTGCAGTTTCGAAATACGGCATCTCTAAAGATCTAGTAGCTTTAAGTAACACGTCGGACGTTGGCTCTACATGGAACAGGCTGATATTGCCCCAATACTCAACCCAATGTGTGGATGCCTCACCGAACGTGGGAACACAGTTGATCTAACGTTGGCTCCAACGTTGGCGCCAACGTTGGATCCCATGTGTGGAGCTGGCCTTACTTGCTCAAGCGGGGCTAATTGATTCCCTAACTTCTCGCAGTATATAGTTATGAACCAGTACAACAACTCTTGGTGCAACCGGCTCAAACACAAGCTTTTACCTCTTCAACAAAGACCACATACCAAGTTGGCTCCAAAATACAAAATATGCTTTATTTGACGTTTGGTTTCCAGATCGTTAAACATTTAATGTTTTAAGTAAAAACGTTAGGAACATGAAAAAAGTTATCAAGAAATAGTAAATACATATTTTAAGCCACCGATTACACATCGGAAGTAAGTAATTTGAATTCAATTTCATTTTAAACAATCTTTAAAGTTCGCCGGCACATTATAAATACTACGCAGCCTTATATCTCAGTATAGTTAAACAACCATGAACATTCTAGGAATTAAATATACACTAACAGATTTATATTAATAAATGAAAATATTACTAATATATTAACATTTCGCCCGATAATTAACTAAAGATTGCTCTTATTAAAGTTCAGCACATCTTATCTTCATGATATGATTGTTTATTATTTATTGAAATAATATTTTTAGTCAGTTTCGGTTGGTGAGGCAGTAAGTTTCCAGTTTATCAAGTATTGCTTGTAGTGTCGTGTTTAATCGGACTGTCTTTCGACTTATTATTTTAGTTTGTGTCTTGATATGATTTGCTATTTTACTTAACACTTAAGTAAAACACAATGGGAATACGATATAGGTAAATTAACTTTATATAATATTATATTATTTCTAAATTTTTAGATCGTGAACCGTCGAAGGCGTTTAATAAATGGCGATAAAAAATTTTAAGCTGTTGAAGTATTCTCTTCTTCTTGTTATTATTATTTTAGATATACATAATAGTCTGCCAGTTTTTGTAATTATTTTCAGTATATTATCGGTGCAGTATTTTCGTTGACGTTCCACTGATTGCCCTTCCACTAGCTAATGATCGCCCACTGTTTTCACTATTCTGTACTAAGTCATTCTATCTATTTAAAGTTTGTGTGCCAATAATTTTGTCTTATTTGTTTTACTACATAATTAGGATTTTTGAAAAAAAAAATGTTTAGCGTATTTGGGAGAGCGTTAGGTAGCCACATATACATTGTAACAAAGACTTTTAAATTCAACCCTTATTTTGAGTGGTGCCACTATTGCACATCCAGTGGCGCGCCCAGAATCTGTTTGAGGGGAGGGGGGTTTAAAATTGTTTTATGCTACCTCCATTTTGAGTGGCCACTGTAAGGCTGACGATATTTTTGGAACACTCCCTTCTCTCATCTAGATCTTATCTATTGTTTCTATTGTTCTGAATCTATTTTCTTGTGGCATTTTAAAGTAATTTCTATTTTAATGGGAATAAGCCACAATTGATGGTTTGATGGATAGTTTATTGACGTTTGGCATTAATCTTACTTGTAAATACAAAACATTTTGGAGACGGCTATCGCCGTATCCACGTTCTCCACCGCCAATCATCTTGGTCCAATACATCCTCCTCCTTCAAACCTTTCGATTCCATCGCTCTTCTAATTCCTTCATTCCATGAGCGTCGAGGTATACCTCTTTTTCTTCTTCCAGGGGGCTTCCATTTGTGAAGTTTTTGGGTCCAACGTTCATCAGGTATTCTCAATGTGTCCAAACCATTTTGAACCTCTTCTTTTTGTTCTGTCCATGACCGTTTCAGCAGCATTCATGTTATTTCTTATAGATTCGTTGGTCTTCCTTTCCTGCCTTGATGTTCTAGCACTTATTTTCGATTAATCCATTTCAACTGTAAACAATATTCTCTTCAGGTCTGCATTAATTTTCTATACTTCGAAGCCATAAGAACTGATTTTACCATGGTTTGCCCTATCCTTTTTTTTTGTTTCTTTTGGAAATGTTGCGATCCCTCCATTAGGAGTTCAGACATCCTACAATTGTACGTCCCTGATTAATTGGGTGTTTAATTTCGGTTTCTCCCAAGCCGTTCTTAGCAATGAGTGCACCTAAATATTTAAATTTTTCCATTTGTTTAATTTTCACATCCACGTCTATCAACACTTCAAATCTTGCATCTGAATTAATAACTAAATATTCTGTTTTCTTCATGCTGACTTGCAACCCCCATTTTACATATTCTCTGTATAGACGCTTTACCATAAATTCTAGATCATAAGAATCTTGAGCTAGGACGACTTGGTCATCCGCAAAGTTCAGAGAGTACAGTACGTCATTTCTTATGGGTATTCCCATTCCCTGGCAGTGGTTTTTCCAATTTTCAGGAGCTACCTCAATATATAAATTAAACAGTAAGGGCATTAAACTGCATCCTTGTTTTAGTACTTTAGTTACTTTTATTGGCTCTGATAGTCTATTTCCGATTTTTAGGTAAGTAGTGTTATCCCTGTATACTTCTGTGATTATTCCTAAAAAGTATGGACCAATGTCGAGTTGTTGTAAAGCTTGCTACAATTTAAGTCTTGGAACTGTATCATACACCGTTTCTAGGTCGACGAAGGCTAGATGTACTTAGGTATCAACCGCTATTCTTTTTTCTATTAATTGTTAAAGTATAAACAAGTTATTAGTGAAACATGAAAGATCAAAGATTCAAACGTCAATAAACTTATTTTAACCTTTAATTGCGGATTATTCCCATTAAAATAGTACTTAGATCTTATCTCAGTCGTTAGCCCGGTTGGTGTTTCTCTTCTTCTTCTTTGTTTTTAATGACTGCTCCGATGTAATTGTGAACACTATTCTATCCCTCCGTACTTCTCGTCATCTTTACGATCATCTCTCTTACAGTCACAGGGTTTATACCTATTTCTTTATACATTATGTTTCTATCCACTGTACATCTATTACACTCCAGCATTGTGTGAGTAACGCAATGTCGGAATATTCACAGTATAGGCATTTATCTGTATCTGTCTTTCTGAACCTGTGAAGATAATCCCTAAAACAGACAATCTACCCAGTCCCTTAGGCTCGGGATCAGCATCTGGATCCACTGAGCAAACATCTTCCTTGTTGTTCCACTCTTCTTGCCATCCTTTCATTGATCTTTCCATTTCTTCTTTTTTATAGCTGTTGTCAAATGCTCTCTTCTTTCATAGAGATGTCTCTTTTCTACTGCTAACACATGCAGAGGAACACAACCCGTGATAGTCTACAAGGCGGCCGCAGATACAGTCCTGTAGGCGCTTGCTTTTAACATGCATAAAAAAATCAAGGAGTTTACTTATACTTACAAGAAAAAATAGTTTGGTAGGTTAATAGACGAGAACAATAAACTTATTGTAGATAAAGAAGAACAGTTACAGACTTGGGCAATCTACATAAAAGATTTGTTTACGGATTACCGTCATATTTCTATGAACACTCTTGATCTGAATGGACCAAAAATATTGAAAAGTGAGGTGATAAAAGCTATAGATCAAACGAAAGATGGGAAAGCAACAGGATGCGATGAAATACCAGTCGAATTCTTAAAAGTTTTTAACGAGAACAACCTGAATGTAGTATTGGAACTGTTTAATAAGATATACGATACTGGTCAAATTCCATCGGACTGGTTGAAATCTACATTTGTGCCCCTTCCCAAGAAATATAATTCTAAGACGTGTAGTGAATATCGCCTTATAAGTTTAATGAGCCACACCCTTAAAGTATTTTTGCGTATTATCCATTCCAGAATACGAGCAAAATTAGAACACAGCATAAGTAAAACACAGTTCGGTTTTAGATGCGGTTTTGGAACTCGAGAACCCCTCTTTGCAATACAAGTTTTGATTCAAAAATGCCTGGATCAACAGAAAGATGTTTACGTCTGTTTTATCGACTATGAGAAAGCATTCGATACTATCAAACATGACAAACTCATAGAACTATTACGTCTTTCAGGACTTGACACTAAAGACATCCAGATTATAAAAATTCTATATTGGAATCAAACAGCCCACATGAAGAATGGACATATGGTGAGTGAAAACATAACCATTTCTAGAGGGGTAAGGCAGGGCTGTATTCTTTCGCCACTGCTTTTCAACCTGTACACGGAACAAATATTTCTAGAGGCACTAGAAGAGTACAATGAGGGCATCAAGATTAATGGCGTACCAATAAGTAATCTTCGATATGCAGATGATACTATTATACTGGCCGATAACATCGAAGATTTACAGATGATGCTACATAGAGTTAATACAACTGATCAGATGATCAGTAAAAAAAAATTTCAACATATCGACCTGCATATTGAAGACGAACGTATTGAAAGAGTACACCGATTTAAATATCTGGGATATACAGTAAATGACAAGTGGGACCCAGAAGTAGAGATTAAGATCCGAATTGAAATAGCAAGATCCAAATTCATCAAAATGAGAAAGCTCTTAAGCAACCGCAACCTAAGCATTAACCTCCGATGGCGCGCCACGAAATGCTACGTACTCTCGACGCTACTTTACGGCGTAGAAGGGTGGACGTTAACAGCAGCAACTATAAAGAAGTTAGCGGCTCTGGAAATGTGGCTGTATCGACGCATACTCAGAATACCTTGGACAGACAGAGTGACCAACACAGAGGTATTAAGACGAATGGGTAAAGAGATGGAATTGTTAACAACTGTTAAAAGGAGGAAAGCGTCATACCTGGGCCATGTGTTCCGTAATGATAAGTACAGTCTGCTACAGCTTATCGTGGAAGGCAAGATTGAAGGTAGAAGAGGTTTGGGCAGAAAGAAGAAATCCTGGCTGAGAAACTTGAGAGAATGGTTTCAAATACCAGAAGCTGCGAACATAATTTATGCGGCACAAAACAGAGAAACCTATCGTATGATGGTCGCCAACCTTCGGTAGAAGACTTCACATAAAGAAGAAGAAAAGAAGGCGCTTGCTACTCACAATAGACTCGTTCTGTCTACTTTTGTCATAAGCCTAATATTAGGTATCTATATCTAAAGATAATGAAAAATATTATTAATTATTGTGTATTAATTATTGGGTATTTATACATTTATAAAATAATTATTGTGTTTTACATATTTAAAGTGGTAATTTAATTATTTAATTAGCGTTTTGGATTGTTTGTATTGTATGTAAAAGACAAGTTACATTTTCCTACTATAATATGCCCTGCGGGGGGTGTTAACCCCCAAACCCCAACCCTGCCTGGGTGCGCCATAGAGTTCATTGTCTTTTAAGACGAATTAAGCCAAAGACAAAACTGACATCTTTTGTTATTATTATTAACTGAAATAAAGGTTCAATAAAGAATAGTACAAATTACTTGAATGTGAAAATGTGTTTATTAACAACTAAAAGAAGAACGAAATAAAAAAAGTATATTTTGATAAAACTTATGATTAACAATGCTTTAAATGTCGGTAGAAATCAGCGTGAATTGGTGAAACACTCTTGTCTTCACAAAGGCTAGTAAGGTCGTTTTTCTTCCTTTCAATTATTATCAGACTGCCAGTGTAAACCTTTTCTAGTTCTGTATTATTCATGCTTTCTAATCCTTTTCTTGTTTTTTCTTGGTGGTATCAACTGATCTGTACTCCTCTTATGCAAATAAAGTTTTAAAATAGTAGTGAGTACCAAACCATTTTTTACATTAATTTCACAAATATCGTTGAAATTAAAAGTATTTCCTTGGACATCTTTATTGAAAATTGTCGCTGTTTTAGTATTTATATTTTTCAGGCCAAAAAAATCATTATGACAT